AGACAAAACCATGGTAATGATCACTCACAAGCTAGCTCCATCCTATTTCATACCCTGCTTCATTGTCTATTTCAAAGTGGACCATATTATACAAAACAAATAACATTCTGTATTAAAAGACTAGAAACAAGTGGTTGAGACCATGTTGAAAATGTTTACTAGGTAACGGTTAGAGGATTACGTCTATACCGACGGTGCTACTAACGCCTGTCATGAATCCTGTCAGGAACATGTCATTTCTTTGACTGATGTCATTTAGTGTCATTCAGCAAATGATGAAAATTATAATGCATTAGCCGCTTTCACACCGAAGGACTTGCCGTACTTTAGTGCCGGCACTAAAGTACCACGGCACTGAATCCGCCAGGGGGCTAGTGCCAATCGCATTCACACCGATGTACTTTCCCTGAGGCAAGATTACGCTGACGTCACTTCGTCTTCTTCTTCTCTGGGTTTACTGGCAGGCCGCAAAACCACTTCACGGCGAGTACAAAAGAAAACGAGAGAAGAACTACACGGGGGAGGGGGTATAAAGCCCACCCGCTGAGTTGTTTGTTTACTTTCTGACCTCAGACATGATGGAGTTCGCTCCGGTGTTGTAGTACGTGCGATCATAACTGCTTTAAAGTACAAAAAAATTACTCGCTCAGGTGTGGATGTGGTTTTGTAGCGAGAAAAAAAATGGCTGCCTAACAAAAAAAATTCAGAGTCTAACGGGGCGTGGTTTGCAATTCGCCCAGCCAATAGAAATAAAATAGAAATTGGCACTCTTTTATCACCAGGTTCGTACCACCTCTCTAGCAGGGACTGAAAATGGCCAAAAGAGTTCCCGGCACTGAGTAGTCCCGGCGGTGTGAACGCGACATTATTGGTACTAACGGAACTTAGGAACCAAAGTACCAGGGAAATCCCTGCGGTGTGAATGCGGCTATTGTTACAATTGTTTGAGTTGTGTTTGTCATGATTAGTTAACCCAGAACCAGAAAGCCTTATTATAAAACTTTAGTTGAATGTAGTTCTTAATGTGTTGTCTTAACATCACACCACATTATGTAGTTGGTTTGACAATAGCTGTCATGAGACCATGATATGATGTTCAAGGCTTTTAATCTGACCTTTCATGAAGATGTCATTAGATGTTATTACACGGTCATAGATAATGGTGACATGAATCATTCCTTGACCTTGAGCTGAGTGGATGAACCTGTCATTAACATGTCAGTACATTGTACAAGTCCAGTTTGAAGACAGTAAATGTATTAATTATGTGAATTATGATATTTTCACAGAGAGCTGTGTTTTAAAGTATCTGCTAACGGTTAGCAGCCGCTAGCTAGATAGCACGGTTAGCCATGCAGCTAGCGGTCCAATGAGCTGACTCAGGCCCGGGCTGCCTACAGTCAGACCCGGACTGACACCACTCGGGTTCTGTGTCCCTGCCGTGAAACTGTTGGTCTCGGAGACAGTCCGCCTTTATTGAGAGGCTGAGTGTCCGGATGCCATTAAAGTGAGTCAGATGTGACCTTTCACACTGTACGCATGCTCTGACTGTCTGTAAGCTGATATATGTAACAACCAACACAAACTGTAGTCATGACACGAAGCGGACACTTACCGAATGTATTCAGTCAAGACGAAATAACGTCAGTGCATGCTAACGTTAGTCTTTGTTAGGATCGAAGCCGTCGAAACACATTAAACCCAGTTATCATTAGCTCATGACTCCTTTCGTTTTACCCGTGAGATGTCTCTCAGTCTTATTCTTGTGCTATAAACCTTAATTGGATGTACTTTAAGTGTCCTGACAAAAAAGACAACACATTGAGGGAGGACGAGTCCATGTTATATTACCAGATCACTATGCTTCAACCAAAGTTTACTCAGATCAGCAGCTAGCTAGTGCTGTGGCCCCGGACACACCGGCCTGTGACCTACCTTGGGTTGGGTCGTTCCTCACAAATAATCGTCTCTCATTGTGGCTACTCCGCTTTATAATTGTTCACAGGCTAAGAGCTACTATTGCGCGACGTGAGCTTAATCGGCGTTAGCTACCTATGCTACCCATGCATGTATAAAGAGATGCTAACTTCAGGGGGCGTGCCCTTCTTCTTCTTCTTCTTCTTCTTCTATGGTTTCTGGATGTGTGGGCTGTTGGGCAGGTTCTGTGCTCACTGGGGGAGAATAATGACTCTCTAATATTAAAGGATAGGTGTAGTCTTTGTTTTTAAAGTGTGTAAAAGAGGATGTTTTTAAATAGGTAAAATGCTTGAAATTATATTTATTTGGTAGTCATGAAAATCTGGTTATTTATTTTGATTTTGTAATGTATTAGGTTTGTTCCGACTCTTTTGCAGGGTGGGTGTATAGTTAAAACAAATGCAAATAAAATTTGTTTTGAAAATCTTCATCTTCTGTTTGAAGGTTGGAAACCAATGATGTGGTGCATTACCGCCACCTACTGTGGAGGAGTAGACTGACAGAAAAAACAATTTAAAAAAAAAACCCCAACCAAACTCTGGAGAAACGATTTGAAAGACTGTCCATTGCCGTAGCCGACTACTCATCAGAGAGAACAACTTGAAATGGTTTTTAAAAACACACGGTATCTTTCCCCTCCCTCTTTTTCTTTATTTTTCTTTAAAGTATATCTTACTCTTACTGTAAGAGTTATTGTAATTGCACTGTTGAAAATCCTGTGACCTACGTTGTTCATTCATTGCATAATTGCACCGTAGATGTGTATGTGACATGAAAATACATCTTTGAAATGCGGCTCATATTGTATATTTGAAAGACAATATTCTGATATATATCTTCCACTGCCATTATGTATATATTTTACTTCAAGTTAAAATTCAGTTTTTATTTCCTATTTTGAGATATTTATATGCTTACGCCTGTTTATGTTGTAGGCCTACTCCTTTCCATCTGTCCATTGTGTGCAATGCCTTGTTTACATGCTGCTGGAACCAAATATTCTCCCAAATTTGATGTAATGTTTGTGGCTGAGTTATTTCTTATTAAATGATCAAAAATAAGATAAAGAATAACTGAACACATTCTTGGTGGCTCTTTATGTAGTGGTCAGAACATGTATGAACCCCTTGGAAATATTCGTATTGACCTATACTCCAACATAATGGGAACAATCTTGCAATGAATGTATGATTGTAATTAGAATGTTTAAATCTTAATTTTTTCTACACTTGAGTTTGTATAACTATGTGTTCAGAATCACAATGAGCTGGATGACAGAGCATTGTCTCAATGATCCCGTTCACAAGAGCCCACGATAAATGCTTTACTTCACTGGAGCTGTCTACTGGACTAATTCTGTTCATTCAACAACATTTGTATTTCCCAAATGAAAGTGAGTCCACTGTATTCATTCCCTTCATACATTTTCAAACAGTCTGCTGAGGGTCCTATCATCCATCAAGAGGTATGGATATATCATATGTGGAAGTTCCTTCATCATAGCTTAGGGTTATGATCAAAGGCATCATTTATATTGGGGACATGTCCCCATCACTTGGTAACGGACCATTTTGTCCCCACCACTTTGCATTAGGATCATTTGTTAAAAAAAAAGAATTGTACATTTTGAGAATGAATAATAGAACATGTTCAATCTGGAGTGTTCTCACTCTTTCTTTGTATTTCTGAGAACCCAAGTTGTGCACTTTGGACCTGAGACACATTCAATATTAGGAATCATTGAATAGAGAATAGTAAAGCTATTAATGCTCCTGTCTTGCAGCAGCGTAGCATAGTTACTGCTCTAGTTGTCCAAAAAGTATTGTAAGCATACAGTAGGTATGTATATACAGTGTGTATGAATTGTTTGCAGGGGCCGCTTAATGTAGTGTTTTTTAGAATCTGAACAAATGATTCCCCGCCACTTTTCCTAACAACGTGAAAGACCAACTTTCAATATTCAACAAAAGTAAAACACAGGGGCACAGTGGAAATCTAAAAACTCATTTATTTTGTATTATTTTATGTTCAGACAATCAGAAAATGACAAATTTTCTTTTCACTGTCTTCTAAAATCTATTTAATGATAATACAAACACCTAATGCAAAATATATCAAAGTTAAAGGTGTCGACCTAAATGCAACACACCAGAACAGCCCTGGAGGATCCTTAAGTGAAATGATCCGGGGTCCTCTGCTCTTCCACCATCAGTCTGGAATGCTCCAACATGTCCCCTGTCCCGTCCTCTAACGTGTCCTTCTACTGGGAAACATGTTGTTGTTGGCCGCCCACATGGAGAACATCGTGTAGCAATGGATTTTTGACCTATATTAAAATGGTATTTTTTCATCATGTCAGTACCTTCCACCACCACTTCAATGTTTATTATGCCTGCCTTGACAGTGTGTGGCGGCTCAGGAGGGGGTCTGTGATTCTATCCCAGGCACCTGAAGTCTTGAGTCGTCTTTGGGCAAGATACTGAACCCAAAGTGCCATTGTGTTTAAGTGTGTTTGGCATGTATTGCTCCTGATGTAAGTTAGCCTGTGTCAGTGTGTCAGTGTGTGTGTGTGTGTGTGTGTGTGTGTGTGTGTGTGTTCTGGGACTGGTTCAAGGCTGTAGAGGCAGGGCAGGGAGCATGTGTGATGGAAGGGCAGCAGTGAACATGCAGGAAACCATCTGGGCAGTCCAGCTTATATCATTGTTTGGTTGTGCATATCTGCAATTGATCAAAATACCACAAACTGTAAACACACCATGACATTTGGGGCCTTCAAGGGACCCTGAATGTCCGGGGTCCCATATGGCCTTGTGTGAAACTGCAAAGATGGGTTAAACAAACTGATGTCCCCAAGCCAATGATTACCAGATGCAGCCGCTTATTTCTCAAGTGCTCCATTCATTTTTTTGAAAATAATGACAAATGTCCATCATCATTTCCAGTGTTCACACAGGTTAGAGGACTCCTTCTTCTTCATCACTCTGCAGCACAACCATGATGCAGAGAAGACTCCTTCTTCTTCATCACTCTGCAGCACGACCATGATGCAGAGAGGCCTCCTTCTTCTTCATCACTCTGCAGCACGCAGGAGCAGCCATGATGCAGAGGCCTCCTTCTTCATCACTCTGCAGCACGCAGGAGCAGCCATGATGCAGAGAGGCCTCCTTCTTCTTCATCACTCTGCAGCACGACCATGATGCCGTTCACAGTGAAAATCCACAAAGTCAATCAATGTGTTTGTGAAATTCCGACATGCAACTGTGGTATTGGTTCAGACAGAGGCCCGGTTTTAAACAGAGTGAACATTCCAGACTGAAGAGGCAGAGGCACTGAGACGGAACAAATGCAGAGGAGCCAACAGGCAAGGTGCTACAACACCCTGCTGTGAGCTACCCTCAGTAAAAAACTATTGACTTACAAAGTACATGTGCTTGATCTGACAAAAATAAAACTCTACAGACATTTTCTCTGCAGTTAGACGGACAGTCACCTGTCTCTTCTCTGAGGTAGTACATAAGTAGAAATATCATTAAAGGCAAGTAAAGAGAACAATGTTTGGCTGTGGGATACACCACCAGGACCTGTGTGCACCCAGCCCTTCAGAGAGGAACTCGGAGCATCTTCAACATGGTCCAATCTGGTCCAAACGAGTTACAACTATTTCTAATGATTATTGCAGAAAGATATACAAAAATGTAGAGGTAGAAAATTTGACGAAATTATAATGTCAACGTCTGTAGCTAGATAAAGAGTTTAGATTCATTAAACTACTTTTATAGTTTCAATCTAATGGCACAAATAAGAGCCAAAATAACTAGAAGCAAAAACAAATAAAAACAGAAACCCACACTTCTGCGTGTTTGAGGTACAGATCAAAGTCATCCTTTTGTTTTTTTTAGAAATGTCATAAGTGCTTAAACCCAGTCAGGAGATTAGACACTCTTAGAGAGGCACAACAGTAGTATTTTAAGACATCGGTGCAACACTTGGAGGCCGGTAATAATGCTAGTGAGAGAAGTCCTTCAACAATGACTTCATGGAGTTAAGGCAGAAGGGAGAGCATCATATTTCTGATATCATCTCCACGAACAGACCAACGTCATGAGTGGAGCCTCCATCATGAGAAAGCTGCTGGTTTGGATCAGAGACAGGAGAGGGGGGAGGTCACCTTTTAGTATGAAGGACATCAGATACTCTGATATCCAGCACCCCAGCCTTGTGGATGGGTGTTAATACCAACAGTAACATAGTAAGAGACAGGAAAATGGTTCAAGTGCTCTGGAAGTCCTTTGTAGAATTGATGATGGGTTCCATTCAGGAATACCATCGGACCCTCACGGCGAGCGGGTCACAGGTTCAGCCCGGGTACATCCAGTGGGCCGTTTGAAAAGAAGTGAACAGGTAACAGGGAGGGTTGGGACTATTCCTTCTGCCTAATCACAACGCTGATCTCAAGTGCTTCAGGTCAAGTAGCTAGGGTTGCTACCTTTTACCATGGAAAATAAGTAGAGACCTGGATGACCTCTACTTCAGACTCAAATATAGATTCATTAACATATTGTCAAGTGCTTTCCTTACCCAAGGCTGTAGTGCTATGATTGACACATGGCGGGATTTGAACAATTATGTTTCGCAGATGTGTTTTAAGCGCAGTCAAATCTTTGCAGCATGTCATAGCCACATTTTCTGATTGAGCATGTTTATCTAGCCTTGATTCAAGATCATCTTCCTGTCACAGTTGGGGTTGGCCTTATCCTGGACGCAGACATTCAATAACTCCTAAAACAAATTGAATTGACACCGAGTGTGGGTTCGCTGCAATGGCTAATAGGGTTCATTCCCACCATGCTCCAATACAGGGCATATGTTTGTAGGTATGTTGTGGGACACGGGCAGCAACCCTGAGACCAGTGACCTGGTTAGCACCGAGTCAGCAAATGTACATTTCAGAGTTCCCTGTTTGACATTTGAACAGCGCAGATTCAGGGATTCAAGGTCAACACAACAAGCCGCTGCTACCCTGCCCTCTGAGGCCCTGTTCATCAGACAGAGTAAGACTCCCTGAGGATGCCAGGAGTGTTGACTAGTGTTGTTAGCAGATACAAGTTCTGAGGGAATTTCACACTGGATTCCACAGGTAGCTTCTTGTAGAATCCAGTCAAGTTGTGCGGTATAGGTAAAACATTCTATTTTTCTTTTTAAAACCCTACCATTCAAACAAAGTTGACAGCAGTGGTGCAGCAGCTTTCCTCCTCCTGTGATTTGGCATGACTTCAAGCTTTAAAACCCTGTAATATTTAAAATGATCGAGTTATAATAGGTAATACTGCCAACAAAAAGGATCTATTTAGCATTAGAGATTGTTTCACCAAGGTGATATAGCCTCAAATCACCTAACAATCCTAGGGCTTTCGGGCAAAGAGCTACTTTGTTGCATTTTAGATTCTGTTACTAAAATGCCTTTGCAGTTCAATTATTATGAACATGTGTGACATTTGACAGTTACTAGTTGTTCAGTTAGCTAATAATAGTTGTGCAGTCAATCTTCACAGTTTGTGTTAACTGTATATGTTATCGACTGCACTTTCTGGCCAAACACAGTAAAGGGTTAAATGAACAACACTTGAAATAATTGTTGATATAATTTCATCAATGGTCAATTCTGGTCTAGTGAAATATTGATGTCACTGGATGACATGTTTTGGAGAGTTAACAAGGTGCAATGCGTAAGGTCAAGCCACCTGCTCCAAAGAATTAAGGGCTAGAATTTCACCTCTAATACTGGCTTCATGCAATCTAACTGTCCAGTCAACAATATGAACAAAAAAGCCTACTAACCAACAGTAGGGCAAGAATATGTCAAATCAAAGTAAACTGCCAAAACACAGTGGGTCAAAAACCCACTGCTACCTTATAATGTTGTCATGTTGCGTCAGCCTGTAGTTGACCTCAGTCAAAGCTTTGTTTCCTTTGCCACTGACCCGGGGCTGAACGTGTATATGCTTTGATTTGTTTTATTAGACCATCCAAAGTAGCTCAACTTTTTCTTGTCCCCACCCCCCCCACCTAAGAGACTACAGAGAGACAGACTGTCAGAAGCTGCACGCAACCACTGGGACAGACAGCAGGACCCTAGATCTACCTGCAGTTGTGGCCCACAACGGGCGCTGGGGTTAGCTCTAGTTGAATTCAATACAACTGCTGACTGTAGTCTGCCTCCCTGAGCGATCCTCCTGGTGTAGAAGCCTCCCAGTGGGGATCAGGGTCAGCCAAGTTGTGAATTCTCTGTTGTTCTGCCCATTTGGATTTATAGAGATATGTATAATGACAAGCCCTCAGGGCAGCCCTGTAGTAGTCTGTCCCCACAGTGCCACACGAGAAACCCCCAGAAACAGGACTAGCTTTACAGGTTAGGTTTGTAAAAGCGCCTATACCATTAGCATGCTAACTTCAGTCAAAAGCTCTGCAACATATTTGACATGTCAACAAAAGTAAGCTTTCAGGTTATGTTGATAATGCAAGTTCATTTTTTTTCAACTAAAATTCAAGCCATAAATGACACATTCTCAATATTGTTTTTTTTCACTAACTCAAACGGAGTACATCTTACTCTAACTTTTTCTTGCTCTACAAGACCGTTCATGCTCCAATATTCTAAAATGAGAAAATCTCAAATCTTCTTGAGTAAGGAGGGTGACATACCCTAACACAGTAGCATTTCCCATGATAACCTAAAACTGGATAACTCCCAGCATTGTGCTGCGCCTGTGACAAGTGTGTTAAGTGCATCCACTGTTGGTAACAGGTCTGACCAAAAAGTAGAACTCTACTTTGGTTGTAGTGAGACCATCTCAATTCCTCAAACGTTCAAGATTCCTTTTTAAATAATGAGGTAATACTGATGAGGTGATTTGTTGTGTTAAAAAAGAAGAAGATTAGATTAGCATCGTTAGCACTGACAGGCTAAAGTCACACATACAATAAAGATGCCATTCTCATGTTTTACCCTTTTCATGAAAAAGCCTTTGAAGGCAGCGTTTGTGGGGACAGAGCTGCTTACTGCTGAAAGGCCTGGTAGTAGTGAGGTAGGGAGCTAGAAGTGCTCATAGCAGGACTGCTGTATGCCTGAGGTAGCTGGCTGTGGTTATGGGCTCCCGGGCCCTGTGGTACATGAGCCTGTGAAGGCTGGAAGAAGGTGAACGGCCCTGGAGCCTGGCTGGACAGCCCAGAGGAAGAGGATGGAGGGGAGGTGGTGGTAGCGGGTGGATAGCTCATCACTAACCCCCCCATCCCCATGTGAGGGCTGTAGGGCGGCAGGCTGAAGGGCAGGAAGCTCAGCAGTGGCCCAAGGTCCATGTTAGTGGTGCAGGACAGCTCGGTGGAGGAGATGGCCGGGCTCCTGGACAGCAGATGGGGGTCGCTGGCAGCACCCACGCCTTCACCAAGCACCTCCCTCTGAGGGGAGGCAGAAGTAGAGGTAGAGGAGTTGACTGCACTTAGGTGAGGTGGGGGCACACTCTGCAGGTCCAGCAGGAAACTGTCCACGTCGGCACGAGGATATGAGGTAGATCCGTGCTGGTACCTGGCCATGTTGCTGTAGGGCTGCTGCTGCTGCGAGGCCACAGGAGGCTGCAGGTGGTGATGGTGAGAAGATTGGGGGGGCATGTGGCGGGCCACACCCATACTCGAGGACAATGACCCCTGCATGAGGCCATGAGGGTGACCCATCCCAGGGACAGCATTGGTCATGGGGTATGAGTTGTACATGTCCCTGGAGAAAGGCTCCATGGGCTCTTTGGAGACAGAGCCCATATCAGAGACCACAGGGCTAGGCTCCTCCTTCACAGGGCACTGGGGGGCAGGGGTCGGTGTAGCAACGGGTGTGCTGGGTGTACAGGGTGGCATCAACCCTGACTCCTGCGCATGGCTCTTCTTCAAATGGCGGGTCAGGTGGTCTCTTCGTCCAAAGCGCTGTGCACATCGCGGGCACAGGAAGTCCCGGCGCCCGGTATGCACCACAGCGTGACGCCGAACATCCTTACGAGTGTAAAAACGGCGGTCGCATCGCTCACATGAGTACTTCCTCTCTCTCACAGGCACAGCAGTGTTATTGTTGCCCTCTGATGGTGGAGGTCTGTCAATATGGCTGCCCAGGTGCTCCAGCAGCGAGGGGGGCCCCTCTGGACCGGGCAGGCCTGCTGAAGCACTGTGGGCTGCCACCAGGTGTCGTCTGTAGCCCAGCTGGGTGTTGTACTGCTTCCCACACTCCTGGCAATGGAAGAGCTGCCTGCTGGCTGTGTGGCTGTCTGGCAGATGGCTCTTCAGATGGTCCTGCTGGTGAAACATGGTCTAACAGAAGGAACAGTACTGGCTGTGCGGCTGCACAGGGACCCTGGCCAAGAGCCTGAGCAGACACAGACAAGACTCATGAGGATCCTCCAAAGAGCCGAGCATCAGCCTGCAGACCTCTGGTCGTCTTGTAAACTTAGAGTGCTAGAATTAATGCTGTTAATAAGTGCTGCTTGTTCACGGTTTGATGCTCTCTTGTGGCAATGACTAGTGGTCTGTCCTGCCTTACTGATGCAAGCCTGTGTCCAGCACTTGGTTTCTGTGAAAGCAGCTGCCATAGCAACCCCAAAAGGGCTGTGGTGATGAGGAGCTTTGGAAGCTCTGACCGGGTCTGTGTGTTTTCCTGTGAAAAGCTCTTCTGTTGTCCTGCAGTCTATTTTAGTATTCAGCAGCTCTGAAAGCCAGAGTCACAGCAGCAGAATCACAGAGGTAGCTTGGCATCGTCAGAGACCTGAAAAATAGAAAAGATGGGTGTCAAATAATATCATTTGGCAAGTAAAATCATGCTGGATGAGCTGACTTTAATAACTAAATAATAAAACTAGGACTTCCGGTTATGGCGCAGTGCTGGTGAAACGCATCTCCATGAGGCTCCGAAGCTAATATATTGAATTAATTATTCAGAAGACCACAACTCCCTTTAAATACACATTATCTTAAACAATAGATTACCTGTCAACATTATGCCAGGAAGACCTCAGAAAACAGGTCCACAGACCCCTGCAGCATCAAAAACGTCAACGTTGCAAGCTAACGCTAGCTCAGCTGCCGCTAGCCAAAACACAGAGGCAATGGCCGAGAAGGTGGAAATCCTCGGCGCCATACATGCTATGCAAAGCGACTTTTCAAAGAAACTTGACGATGTGCTTGAGGGAATGGGCGGACTCAAGGGTGAGCTGCAACACCAAGCTAACAGGATCACAGAAGCAGAGGAAAGAATTGGAAAGACCGAGGACGACTTAAATTCCATGCACATCGCTATCAAAAAGCTACAGGATAAATGCGCCACATTGGAAATGAAGGTGGAAGACCATGAAAATAGGGACCGCCGCAACAACCTGAGGCTCATCGGCTTGTCTGAAAAAGCTGAGGGTCAAGACGTGTGTGCGTTTTTGGAGCAATGGCTATCTAGAGCCCTGGGCACCGACACTTTTTCCACACCGCCCGTTATTGAGAGAGCACACCGAATAGGATGTCTAATCGCTGCTGGCCAGGACCCAAAACCAAGAGCGGTAATTTTGAGGTTCCTTAACTACAGAGACAAGGAAAACGCTATGCGAGCAGCCCGGAGACAAGGAACAGTGCGTTTTGAGAATCACAACGTCAGATTATATCCAGACCACTCAGCGGAGACTCACCGGCAACAGAAACTCTTCGAGGCAGTGAAAAAGCAGCTACAATCCATGGGGCTCCGCTACGGGATGTTCTACCCGGCTATCTTGGTAGTAACACACAACGGACAGCGACACTCCTTCAACACGGTCCCCGACGCAGAGAAGTTTGTCCAAAAGCTACAGAAGGACGCCAG